AATTGTTTTTAGAAATATTAAGTTAGGGGTTAAAAATTTTAATTCTGAAAATTCCCTCTATTTTTAAATTCTATTTATAGGACAGAAATGTATGAGTTTTTATTCCATTTAATTATATTTAAAAAAATGACAAAAATAAGAATCGAACCGAGTTTTTTTGTTACGTTTGTGAAGGTGACTAATCAGCCAGATAAACTTAAAACTATATTTACAAAAAAAAACTTCTGAAATCAAACAGAAAAGGAATTAAATTGGATTGAAAAAAGTTAAAATAACTTCTGAAAACGGAATTAAACTTTGGTTCCACTTTTGGAATAAAAACTTTTCAACTTAACCATTTCGAAATAGAAATAATCAGGATTAAAAATTTACAAAATCTATTCCTTTAAATCGAATACAACTTTTATTTGGAATAGAATTGAATTAAATTTTTCAAAATTCTATCAAGTTTGAGGGTATTGAAAAAGAGGGTATTTTCCGAATGAAATAGAATTAAAATATGTACAATTTTATAGAATATATATATTTTTTTTAAATAACAGGCTTTTTACCGGGTACTTTTCCTTATAAATAAATTACCAACCTGTAGTTTCTAACCAAAATATCTGTAAAAATTTACCTGGTTAAAATGGAAAAAGCATCCGTGAATGGAAATTCCATTAAATTTGTTTCTCAATGCTAACTTAAGAGCTTCTTCAAAATCGCACATCGCTTCCATTATATGGAAATTGGGAAATAAAATTTTTAATTCCTCGAAAACAGCTTCATAAGCAGCAGCTGTTCTTTTCTCCATTAATATCCATACAAAAGGAATTGTCTAAACAGATTGAAGTATATAATAAAAACACAAAATATAACCCACTATAAACCTAAGATTCGTAAGCTTACAGTGCAAGATTGTAGTCAGCTTACAGTTAAGCTTACTATTACCTTACTGTAAGCTTCCAATAAACTTTCTATAGGCTTTGTGTAGTTTTAATGGCGATAAGTTTGGAAGTTAACGTTGTTAACTTCCCAGAAGTTTTAAATGTCCTCAGAGTTTAAGTTAACACTTTTAACTTGTTGAAAGTTAGAAAAGTAAATTTGTTGAAAGTTTTCCTTTGTAATTTTACACAAAATTTTAATGGTAAACTTAAAAATCTATTATCATGCGCAGATGTTTTCTATGGCAGCTAGGGCTACGCAATATTTTTTAATTACATTTCCCTATAGACAATTTATGTCAGTTTCTTAAAAAATTTTTTAACACTTTTATTATGATTATTAATAAATTATCAATTATACATTAATTTTAAAGGTATTATTTTCTTCATAATATACTTGTAGTAAGAAAAAACTTTTATATCTTAAACCCGGAAAAAACCGGGAATTCAAAGACTGAAAAATAGTAGACACCTTGGTTAAATATAATTAATTTTCTTAGTTTTATTTAATATTGGTCTTGAATAAATTTACTTACGTGATTATATTTAACTGTCATTAGAGTTAAAAATTGTCTCAATTCCATATCAGGAGGTACAATTTTGAAAGTGGCATCAATAAAAACCATGGTTTGGTTGTCGTAGACTTCGTTTACAAAGTTTTTATCACAAAAAATGGTTGATCTTGAGCCGTCTTCGGCAATAGCAAGGGAGATTTCCAAGTTGCCTCCATTATATTTTGAAATGTCTTTCCACTCGTCGGAATTAGCAACTTCAACAAAATTATTCAGATTGTTGACGGTTGGAGGAGTCACTTTTTTTCTCCATTGAAACATCGTATTCTCTATTTTTGAAAATGGCAGATGTTGAGCTGCATCTACATGACTACAAAACATTTAATTTATATTTATTTACATAAAACTCGGATAGTTAAGGGATGACAAATGTTTATTTTGTTATAAAATCTCAATGAGTAAAACATTCAAGCAGTAAAATATTTGTATTATGTTGATATTTAACTTACTGAAGACGAACTTCGTCGTAAATTTTTCTATATTTATCTGAGCTTGTCGTTACACGATTGTTTAACGCTTGCTTGAAGGCTCTTATTTTAATATCTTTTTTATCCACTAAATGATTGTGCGTATGTGTTACATTAAATACCCCATTTTTCAATACTCCACGTCCTTGGCATTTTTTATTTTTACGGTTAACACAGACATAATATCTGTAAAATATTAATTTCATTAAAAATCATTACAAAACATTATTTTTTATGTAATATGTAAATGTTCAAGTAAATATTTACTTGATAACAGTCAAGTAACAGATCATTTAAATGAAAAAAATTTTCTTTCAGTTTAGTTATTTTGCTCTTTAAAAAGTATATTTTTCTTACTTAAGACTTAAGAATAAGACTTAATTCTTAAGTCCGAATTTTCAAGTCTGATTCTTAAACTTAAGCATTTAAGACTTACGGCCACGAAACCCTAAGATGCAGGCGCTTCGAGCCTGCTTATCGTACTGATTTTTTAATAACTTTTACAATTTTGAATAGAAAATATTTTCGTTTCAAACATATTTCTATCATTGTTTATTGATAATGAAATTATAGAAAATATTTTTTAGCTAAAATATTTTATAATTTTCCGTTTTGAAAAATAATTATTTTCTAATGGTTAATCATAAACGTTATAGACTTCAGCATCGTTATTTTCACAGAAGCTAAAAGTGAATTTAATTAATATTTAGTTATATTCAACAAACAAATTAGTAAAAATATTATTATTTAAGTAAATGAATTTTTGTTATCAAAATAGTTATTTTTAAATAATTCAAATTTAAAGTAAAGGTCATAAAATTTTGAAAAATTTCTTTTGGAACCATTGTATTTTATTTGTTTGAATAAATTGAAAATTAATTGGGACGCATGATTAAGCTCTAAAAATTTTTTTTTGAATTATGATTTGTTCGAATATTATTCTGTAAAATATTATAATTTTGCAGAATATTTATTAATTTAAATATTAATGTTTTAGATGATACAAATGGTCGAAAATCAATTTGACAGAAATAATTCATGGGAAACATTAATATTCGAACAAGTAAATATTCTGCAAAATTAATATTGTAAAGAATAAAATTCTATAAAGTCATAAATCTAAAAAATTTTGATTAGAGCATAATCATGCGTTCCAATTAATTATTATTAATTTTTATTACAATTAGATATTTAATGTTGAATAAAATCAAGCATATATAGTAGTCATAAAAGAAAATAATGCTTTCAAATTAAATTTTGTATCATTATTATTATCATTATTAATAAACATGAAGAAAAATAATTCCATGCACCAGTTCTTGATTTATAAAAATTTATAGATTTCCTTAAGGCAAATTCAGTATGCAATCGTGAAAAATTCGCACAGAAAAAATTTCTAGTGTTATCAACAGGATCCCTAGCGCCATCTATTACATTTATTACATGTGTTGCGCATGTGTTAGGTCTCTGTACTAACGCAAATGGAATTGTGTTGATCCCAATTTATGTGTTTGATGTGTCTACATGACAATTTATACAACTGTCTTTTTTGGAGACGCCTACTTTTTCCTCAATTTTTAAATAACCGAATTTTTAATTAACATAATTTAAAATTACAAAAGTGTTAATAAACCGAATTTAAATATTTCAGAATTTTTAAAAAACCTAATTTTTATAGTTCCAAATTTTCAGTTTACACAATAAAAAAATAATCGAAATACCATTGGTTATAATTTTTATGTTCTCGAATATTAAAATTACAGAAAATGAAAAGAGCAGAAGTTTCACTTGACAGACTTTCTGTTCAACCTAATTGCGATTGGACAAAATTTTAAGAGAACAGAAATATCAGTTAACATAATTTCAATTTTGCAGAATTTTTAGTTAACATAATTTAAAATAAACAGAAATGTCATTTGACATAATTTTTATGTTCTCGAATTTTAACTTTTCCGAAAATAAAAATAACAGAAATTTAACTTGACAGACTTTCTATTCAACCGAATTGTGATTGGACAGAAATTTAAGAAAACAGAAATATCATTTGTCATAATTTTAATTTTGCCGAATTTTTAATTTACAGAATTGAAAAACAACCGAAACACCATTTGTCAGAATTTTTATGGTCACAAATCTCAGATTAACCGAAAATGAAAACAGCAGAAGTTTCACTTGACATACCAAATCCATTGTGTATTCATTGTTTAAACAATCATCAACAATGGATTTATTCTATCAAATGAAAGTTCTGCTGTTTTTATTTTCGGTTAATTTGAGATTCGAGAACATAAAAATTATGACAAATGACATTTATGTTTATTTTTAATTATGTAAACTAAAAATTCTGCAAAATTGAAATTATGTTAACTGATATTTCCGTTATCTAAAAATTCTGTCCTATCGCAATTAGGTTGAATAGAAAGTCTGTCAAGTTAAATTTCTGTTATTTTTATTTTCGGAAAAGTTAAAATTCGAGAACATAAAAATTATGTCAAATGACATTTCTGTTTATTTTAAATTATGTTAACTAAAAATTCTGCAAAATTGAAATTATGTTAACTGATATTTCTGTTCTCTTAAAATTTTGTCCGATCGCAATTAGGTTGAACAGAAAGTCTGTCAAGTGAAACTTCTGCTCTTTTCATTTTCTGTAATTTTAATATTCGAGAACATAAAAATTATAACCAATGGTATTTCGATTATTTTTTTATTGTGTAAACTGAAAATTTGGAACTATAAAAATTAGGTTTTTTAAAAATTCTGAAATATTTAAATTCGGTTTATTAACACTTTTGTAATTTTAAATTATGTTAATTAAAAATTCGGTTATTTAAAAATTGAGGAAAAA